ACTAAAACAATATTATGTAGGGTTAATTACGATTATCCATCTGAATTAGTGAGTGTAATCACATTAACTAACATGACTGCCTGTAAGTGCTTCTAAACAGAGGTTGTCATTATAATAGTGTAAGTCATTTATAAGATTTTTGCACATTCTACTCAGCTATTATCAATAAATCACGTGACTATTGATTGTTAGCTCACAATTAATGGACAATTAAATTTAGAATGATTACTGAACGCTGAATAACATTGCGTACATCTATTGTCACTGCTCAATGTTTGGCTGTGCTAGTTATATAGCGTAAGGAAACTCGGCTAGTTTACCCACACATATTACCTACATCGTGTGGTCCAAATATATCAGCTGTTGAGCCATGTATACCATTTCTTTTATGTCCACGTGAACATTACACAAGACAGTCACATACAGTTGGGTTAGAATTACGTAGGAGAACTGAGCTAATCATTCAGCGGAAAAAGCGCTGTTCACAACGACGAAGATGCGGTGAATACTGGGGAGAAGACATCACACGTCCTATTATCCCCTATCAACATAAAAGTCATTCTTTCATACCACACATACAGCGGTCAATTAAATGAGCAGTATGCATAAATGTAATCCTCATTTATGCCTAACAACTGTATGATGCCAAGGTATGTTATTCCATGTGCGAAATACACATGTGTGGTTTCGTGTGTGAGTGCGATTTATACAAAGGTACGGTGGCCCATGTATGCAATTAGTCTGCTACGTGAAAACCGATCCGCTTTTTGGACAAACAGATCAGCTAATCGGTCCGTAAGGTTTGACACTATAGGTAATCGAGTTCGTGAAACAACAGAGCAGGATTCTAACTCAGATAGACAAATTCGATGCACATAGGACACTGGCATGCAGCGTTATACTTCCAAACCATTATATTTGCAGGTCACCTATCAACCGATTTTTAGGTAGCGAACCAATTTATTTCAAGTAACGGATCGATTTTCAAGTAGTGGACCGATTGTATGAAAAAAATAGTTAATTACGTCGGCCATGTAGTCATTACTTGCCTGATAATGCCATAGCTAAGCTCAACTCGTCTTTTAAAATCTGCAAGACGTTTTTGACACCTTCTTCACCCTAATATGGAAAATATGAATGTAAGACAATGGTGTCATATCAGTCACTCATTAGTATGTATTTAGTGTTGGCAGTTTTTTTTTTAAATGACAACTTGACACAGTGATGTACTGACAATGGTACCTTTTACGACAAGTTTTTGAATCCTACTAAATTAACATGTTACATGTTTTACTTCTTAGAAACTACGAATGAAGATATCCAATAAGAACAATTGGTGTTATAAGTGATTACATACGACATATAACACACACATTTATTGCATTATTACTTATAATATAAATCACCTTGTACGCCAAGCCGTATATAACTGGTCTACCAATAAAGACAGCCCTAGCACCAAGAGCCAATGCTTTCAATACATCAGTACCTGTACGTACACCACCATCCATGTAGACTTCTATTTTATCACCTACAGCCTTAGATATCTCTGCTAACACATCTATCTAATCAAAAGAAATACACACTTAAAGATAAATCGGCATTGTAAATTTGGTCGACACTATTAATATCCAACTATTGTGCATTCAGCAAAAAACTGAATAACTTATGTCCGTTGTGACTGGGTGGTATATTGTTTCTATTACCTATGGGAATCTTGAACGAGTGAATTATAGCAATTACATTTAAGGAATAACACATACCGTTGCTGGTACACCATCTAACTGTCTCCCACCATGGTTAGATACCATAATAGCATTCACTTTATGTTCCACTGCAATCAATGCATCTTCAACTGTCATAATGCCTTTGAGTATTATGGGTAATTTGGTTATGGACTTTATCCAATCAATGTCAGCCCACGTTGCACTTGGGTCACCACATTTCACTTCATCCAGGAATGTTGTTTCATTCATAATACCCTTGAATATAACAAACACCATTGCGGGTCACAAATGATGAAAATGTGTGATTTTTATGCATTTTGGCCTTAAAATGGCTGCCATTCAGTCATCTTGAATTTATCATACACAATTGACACACAGAGGTCAAACCATATTGACATTTTGTAGAATTTAAATAACATTTTAATAGACATTTAACAGCTTTAATAGAAATGTTAATGTTTTACTTAAAGACTTTGTATACTGTTCTGTGGTCTTTATGATGGTGCTACATTTTGGTCATTAACGTGGCAGTAATATATATGTAGTGAAAATTAAGTTTGTATATATGTAAGACAACATATTCGCATCAAAGTTTTATAGTCAGCAGAATTGTGTCAGAAACCTCGTTAAGCAACACCGGTACTGTGATAAATAAAACAGCTAGAGTATTTGCAAGATATCCGCCGAACATAGCCAACATCATCTGTAACATTTGCTGTGTTTGAATTTTCAGCATCTTAGGGTGTCTTTAAGTCATGGAATCGCACGCGGGGTTCTTACTTGAGTAAAATAAACATTCGATGTAAAGAATTCACTCTTGCACAATGGGTTCCGCATTGTATTGTGGTCGATATTATAGTCGATAAACAATCCGTCAGGTTTTGATTAGTTTTACTTATATGAGCTGTAACTTTCAGGTTTAATTTTGGCCTACTGACTCAAAATTGAAATATGTTTCGCCGACAATACAACATAATTTAGCTATGATTAGTTGAATCAACTAACATATATTAATCTAGTACTTCATAACAATCGCTATATATATGCACTCATTGCAGCGATGTGTCGACCACATATAAATAATGTTTATTGTTGTAAACATGATAAATATGGCTTACATTCTTGCAGTATTTATCAAAGTTAGCAATAATCGCATTTCTTGGTACAATATCCCCAGCTACATATGCCATTCTTCGCTTGAAACCAACTTGGCAGATATCGACAGACACAACAATGCCTTTACATCCAGCTTGTTCCGCTCTTTGTACCATGTCCTTAGTTACACGTGGGTTAGGCCAAACATAGATGTCCATCCATTTCGTACCTCCAGAGTGAGCACAACAAATGTCTTCTAGGGATAACGAACTTACAGAGCTGAGTATCATACATGTATTAAACGTCCCCGAGGCTGAAATATTGAATTGTAATTGTAAGATCAGTTTGACAAATATTTGTTTTTATTTATTAACACACAACATCCCTCGGAGGGGATGAAAATGGGTTACAAATCAAATATTAGTAAAAGAAAAATAACTACATAAAAAGTAAGGGAACAAAAAAGCATTAAAAAAAAGATAAATTTGTATACGAGGAATGTGTTACTGGCTTAGTTTACGTAGGTGCTGCTGTCTTGTATTAAAACAGTTTTTTTAAATATTAAAGGGAAACCGATACTATACATAGGGGCAAGATGGTCACCGAAATTAGTATGCTAATCCGAACCTAGCCGCTCACATCGCGGCGGGAGTTCCAGGAAATGTGCCATTTACGTTGTTTAGAGATCAAGCTGTGATTCCAAATACATTTCTACGGGGGCATAAATATGTACGATGGCGATTACACTCATGTGGTTGGACTTTTGGTATATAAATGTTGTTGATTTCGAACGAAACGTTTCGCGACAAGTGAAAATCCTGAGTTTATAATGGCGGCTAATGTACGCAAAATACCTTTCAATTACAGTTTGAGAAAGTGAGCATAATAAACATTCATTTACTTAGTGGACAGAGGCGGAGTTAATTACCCATGAGCACGTGGTGCAATCCATGGGATTCAAGTTGAGCGGTTCCCTTTTAATAACGAAAAATGTTTGGTTATAGCGTCCTCTAGTATTTAATGGGAATCATCTTTATTTGGAACCCTCGGATTGGATGGAAGGTTGAGCCTAGCAAGGTGTGATGGCCTGTCGGATTCAAAGAAGCATGACAGGGAAGTGCAAGCTGTTTTAATGGTTGTTTTGTACTTTTATATTACCCTGTCAAATGTATATATTAGTGCACTGAAAAATCAAAATAATATTTAACATATTGATCAACGCATTTTTAAAATCATGGGTGTTAACTCCGTCAAGTTATGACCCGTGGTTCCCATAAGATAACAGTTACATCCAATATCAAAATAAAGACGATAGCGTTCATTCATCTCGTTCTAGGATTACTTGGAGATAATAAAAATTTTAGAAAGTTAGTACTTATATGCCTGTGTGTAGAGTTAACTATCCAAATTAGCACAGGAAGTGAGGCAATTGTCATATTTAGTGCTCCAAGTAAATTATTCCTGACCGTGTGTATTTACATGCGTAAATGCAGTTTACTTTGCAATACAATACAGGTTTACTAGTTTCTGGTGAAAATTAGGCGATCTTGTTACCAAAAGTTAGTTGAACATTTGTCATGTGTCACAACACTATGAATGGGTAGTCAAATCTGACATTGGCTTGAGCTTTTGTTTTTGTGGAGAGGGTAATTGTAAATGACAAATTTGGTGGCCAAACTTGTCAGCAGTAATAAAAATAAGCACCCGCCTAATCCGTTCATTCCACTATGAATTAAATAGGTGATTATAAGTCCACTTTTAATGATTTCGTATTTCTGGTGGATACCGATTTTAATTTTAAACTTTTATGCTCTTTTATCCACGCGAGCGAAATTGAACAAATTCAACAACATGTGATAATATTACTAAGAAGATTGTATTTCGTTTAAAATTACTGATATATGTGTAAGCTCGTCGGCTGTCTTTGTGTCAATATTTATTATTCGACTTGTTTTGGAATTCACTTCACAACATTCCCTACCTCTGGATGTTCCAGCTTCAGCATCTGGATGGGCCAATCCTTGAAATGCTGTAGGAGATATGCAAATTGGTATGTCTATTTCTCTGCCAAGTATTGTTGTTTTTAAGTCACGTGTAGATACGTCTCGCAGCACTCTTGGTTTTAGACGAATTCTTTAATTTGAATAAAACGTGTAATCAGTTATTCAGAAAACGATGCAAATAAAGGAAAACAATAAACTACACTCCAAGTTACATTACGGCGCACTGTTTTTATTTAAAAGATGTGCACTCATGCATTCATAGCGACTAGATGGACTTCGAGTTCGAATTCGAATGTCCGACGTCACAAAGTCACACACATTTGTCAAATAATAAAGGAAAACCTTCAATCCCTAAACACGTCAGAAGTATAATAATGAACTATAAATAAATAATAATATTAATAAAGCAGCGTAATAATTGTCTATATCCCCTATACTAAGTATTAAAAATCCCGGCAAACTGGGCCGTGCAAGCACATTGATTTTATGCAATCATAATTAACTATCGCAAATAAACTAATATTTCGAGATATTTGTCGTCTTACACAATATTTCTCGAATTAATAATAAGTATTATATTATTTCAAATATTTCTGGTAGTTTCAGATGTCGGCTAATTAAAACGTCTTCATTATATAAAGACGCGTAACTTAATTTCAAATTCTCCCAACCTCAACATCTTCTCCGAGTATACAAATTTGATCTACCTGCGTCTTGTGGCGATTCGTCACATATGTGTTGTGAACACAGGCGTTGTGTTCGGGGATCGAGGAGTTTCGTCTCGCTTGGCTAATGTTACTCACACGTAGAGATACCAGATTCGACCCAAATAAATACACATAACATCATTACAGATAGTCCAGCTTTATTCACACAGGCAGTCGGCCGGGGTAACCCCTCGCTGCACCGTTCTGACGTTCTATCCCCTTTACAAAGATTACAAACTCTCCATAATGAAAGTCAAATCACTAAGGAGTGAACATGCGATCAACCAACCGCTGCAGTTGTTGGCACGATCGCGTGATTACCAGGGATGTGTCTCGCAAATTTGCCACTACTAAGTACAATAAGTAAACAATCTATTGATAAAATTCCTGTAATATATGTTTATAATCTCCAGCCTAAACATTCAAGTTGTTGATTCTAAACAATACTGCAACGGCGTGTGAACCGAATGTGCGAACGTGAGGTCGCTATCATAACACATGACAATTTATTTGACTTCAGATTGAGTTACAAATTCGAACTCGGCAGGCAATCACTGTCTCAAAATTGAAATGGGAAGACATATACTACAAAATCTAAAACTCCAATTGACAAAAGAATTTGCGACTTGTGTACTGCTATGGAAATTATAGAAGAGACACACTACGTAATGTCATGACAATAATACGAACAGCAAAGAAATTTTTGTTTGTCAACTGTTTTGACAACTCTTAATTTCGTGTGAGCAAAGTAGATAGAATAATGTATCAATAAAATATTATTATAAAAATAAAACTCCAAAACGTAAATAGTGTGATATCCAAAAATAACTATAAGTTTGTAATCGCAATAGGGCAGGCTAATGGTAAACGGCGTTCATGTAAAACAATCGGTTATGCACACGAGTAAGGACGCTTTACGATCTTGAATATATGTGGTAATATTCATTTGTCAAGGAACACTCGCTCAATGAATCAGATCTTGCAAGGTCACTCGTGAGATATTTCCTATGTATGTTAGATTTTTTGAGGAGAGGTTGCGTCGCCTGAATATACGATAGGTAAGTAGTAAAACCAAATACCTTCGAAAAGACCTTCTGTTTTCTTTCAATGTTGTTTCGCCGTCAGCTCCGGAACAGTAGTAAATCCATGTCATAAGTGATAGGTGTTTTTCAGCATACTTTTCGAAGTCGTCCAGACACACACAGTGAGCATCGGCAGCCATTACTGATATAAGTGTCACACAGTGTTATCGCACACGTGCACATTTAGTTTGCACTGCTGACAAAGGTCATCCTATTCTTGTACCCTGGACATTAGTATCAATAATTGTGAGCTTCGAAGTGGGTTTATAATTATATGTGGGTAAAACGATGATAATAACACTAATAAATCCTGGCATGTTGAAAAGACGGACCATATAGTCAGTCAGGTCACGCCAGGGGTCACACACTCCGTGGCAGCACGGCAGTGTGATTAAAACTGCGTCATGGCGTGACACGCACGGAAGACTTCATTCAACACTCACCAAATGGGAAATGAAAAACCGCCGTGGATTCAAATCACACTAGACAAACACTCACTCAAACACATATCTGTCGAGACATTTATTCTCTCAATTTAACAACCCGCAAAAAAAATTCAGTAAATAAAAACTAGCAGACGGTGCCGAATAATGCATCAACAACTGTGTTATACATAAGCAAGAGATAAGCATACAATGATCGTAAGCCTGAGGACAGAGGATCAAATTCCATTTGTGCCTGTTTATTTTCAACAAATACTGACATTTATTGACCCACATGGTTCAGTGGATATGTATGCTCTGCTAGCAGTTAACCATCTACAAGTCTGATTAACAAGACCACCTGGCAGAGGAACATCGCTGTGTATCAAATGGGTTCCCGGTATTGACCCCCACCCCCTAAGGGTTGCTATTTCCCCCTATATCGCTCAGTTTAGAATGATCTAACCTAGAAATTATTGAACATTCATAAGTACAGAAACTACACGTCATGAATAAATTAGCATAATTAAACAAATTCATAAAGTGTAGGTACGTCTCCTGAGACTATACCGAATTTTGTAAATCGCGAGATATATATTGACAGACAAAAGACAACACAAAAGATTACCGATAAAGATTCCAATTTTTTCTGTGTAAAAACTAATATTTTCATATCAATCGTCAATGACCACATTTATGTGTTAGATATGTTATATCTTATTGGTTGTTGAATGTAAACGCAATGCTTCTATTTGCTGGTTTTATGATTAGCATTTAAAACATTATTTGGAATCCAGTTCTGAAAATGTCCAAGCGATTCGTAGTTACCCATAATGCAACTGATACTAGGGTTGAAGCGCTCCATTTTTTATAAGGCTGATGAATACAGTGAAAGCTTTCGAAATTGCTAATACTATTTTTTCTGCAGAACTGGAGATTTGTTACGCAGCAAAATTAAAAATGCGACTGAGTCTTCACCTGAAATTTTAGCGTCTTTCGTAAAATAAAAAATCTACCACTACGTTCTGATAGCGATTGGAGCGATATTTACACCAGCACCACAGTTATACTTTGCCAAACAATTATATATTACACTAAACAGGTCAATGTCATCGTTGACGGTATGTGTTCAATACGAAGTGATACACAATGCAACTACAAAGATACTACATGAAACAAGTAACCTGTGAAATGCTGTGTGGGTAATATTTTTATATTGATTTTTGTTGCATTTGCAGCAAATAATTACGAAACAATAATAAATCTATAGGATTGGATATACTTGTGAGCTGGCCTCACATAGTTCAAGCCTGCCTAACCGGTGCTTATACCAGGGTTTAGCTACAGGACCTAGACGGTCTGTGATTACAGCTTTATGTTCCAAGTAATGGCAATAAATTGACATTGCAATACAAAATAAAAGACTGGCACTCCCATGCAATTTTGAAGTCACTGATGTAGACAATGGATAACTTGGCATACAGACTAGGTAGTGCTGAACTAGAGGCTGAAATTATAATTACGTCCGTTGTAATATAATTTGTTAAATTCAATTTCACCTGAAGTCAGATAGAATACACTGGTGGAAGGATGGTTTGGGGGTGTAGTGTATATTGAGGAGTAGGGGTGGGTGTCATATAATGTGTTCATTTCCAACTCACATAGATTTTCACTTAATATATTTTCGCTAAAAATTTTTAGGCATTACGTGTGAACCTAATTTTCACTGTGCTGTGTCAAGTCTGAATAGAGTATAGGGGAAATGACATTTTCACTGGAATTTATTTTAGCGCAAAAATGTTTTCAGTGAAAATGAAGTATTCCACAGTACTACTTAGGGGGCGTTTCGGGTCAAAGGGTATATTTGTGTATCATAATGCCAATTGTTAGTTATTTAGTCACATATACAAGTACAAATAATGAAGAAACTAAGAGTTTTAAATGTAACATTTTATTTGTGAGTGGAAAAATAAAAATCTTTTATAAGTAATGATTAACACCGACAGTTTGCAACAAGTTTAACTGACAAAATATTGAATAAATATTTGAAATGTGACTGAAAGTAAGATTGAGTGAATCTTCTTATGTAAATTCAAGAGAGACACTGCACACAGTAAAGTAAAAAATATATATTTTTTGAAAGAGGAATTATAATTTTTTGATAACAATTGAAAGACAATACCACTTATATGTAATGCAGATTTCTCAGTGTGGGTAAGACAGGTTCAACTCTGCCATTGGAAAATAAGGGTGTTTTCGGCAAAAAACAAATAACTCTGGAGTGCACACAATGAATACACTGAATTTCAGAACAAATCTCGCATTATTTACAGCAGCATAATACCACACAAATTTCAGACGAAACATGAAAACACTACATTTTGTATTTCGGTCAGTACCCTCTATATTTCAATTCCAGGAATTATCCCATATGTACAACCATTTTCCGCCTTGGTATCACCCACCTCTGAAAACTAACTATTAATACCACCCTGAAGCGTTTGGTAATAAATAAATGACAATAATAAGATAATACAAAATAACACATCAATACTAAAATCAAATACATCGTCTCTGTGTATCTCTGCTTGATAAAGTTCCCACTCTCTTCTGTATTGTGATAGAACAATTGACAGATGTAAGTTAAAATATCGAACAATTTGCGAAACAAACCTAAGATTACTTAGAGTCGATAGTTTTGTGCATATGTCTGAATCAGCGCGTCGATGGGCTAATGTCTTGAATAGTTCTGCAACCTGCAGTAAAACCATAATACTTTATGCATACAACCATAATACATTACTATTATGCATCACTGACGAACAATGCAGAAACGTGTCCTTAAAATACGAAACTACAGAATCCTGTGTTCCCTGTGATTTCACATCACTTTTCTAGTCACTGCGTATAGATTAGGAGCGTTTCTGCTTACGGTGACGAGGGCATTTGCTGTAGCCGTCAGCTTGTTGTTTGATAAAGCGGGGGAGTCGTCACCTGCGCAGATAATCATAGCGTGTCATTGTTTACAAACAAGGTCTACCCATGAGCCTTTGCGTTTCTAGCGTGTGTCGTTATCGTCGTTTTGAACTTGGCATGCGCAGGTGACAACCCTCTCGCTTTAATATGTTCGTAATGTGCCTTTAATTTGTTAGTAATCAATAGCAATTCAAATCGTTGTTGAAAATCGGAAACCCAGTTTATGGTTTAGCTGACGCACAGAGTCATAGAATACTGTGCCATAATTGTATACAGTTTAGTAAGTATATGATAAGAAATCATATGCTGTAGATTACATACCAATAACACACTGTTTTGTAACAAAC